AAGCAATTGTTCGTTTTTAGTTCGTTTGAATTTTCCCTCTTTTCCTTGCTTTCCTTCGCTTTTAAATAGCTTAAAACCACCGTGCGCATTTACTTTCTCGAATTAGCGGCAATTCGGCATCAATTGCTTTAATGCAACAACAAAATACAACGTCAAACTCACTTTAGACTATATATAAAACATAGAACTTTTATTAACAAAACGAATAAAAATACACCATGCTATAGGGCGGGCTATGCCTAATATAAAATAACAAATAACTTACATGAAGTTTAATAGGTATACAAAACTGGAAATAAGTAAACATGTATAATATATAACCAAATAAATAAGAAACGCAGTTTTTAATTGTAGTGTCTGTTCTTTTACCGAACTAAATTATTTTTATTACTATAAAAAAATCTAAACGACGGTGGGGGTCGGTGCCGCGTTGGGCAAGTGACGTAACCGGTGTTGTGGCTTAACAACGGTATCACCGTCAGAACCGTCTATCGCGGCAAGCCTAGTAGGCTGTGGAACAGAGCTGTAATGTGTGTGTGTGTGTGTGTGTGTGTTTGTTTGTTTGTTTGTTCACAGTACGGCATGCAGCTTTACCAGAACTTCATCCAGCCCTATCAGAAGCAGAAGAGTTCTCCAATGGTGAGCCACAGACTCTAGTCCATAATCTGTCATGTATGTTTAGCACAGCAGAATGTTTAAACCACCGAGAAGCTCCACAATAACCATAAACACACGTTACAGTCGTACAGTAGAAACCAGCACTGAAATACTGTCATTTTTGCTCGGCACATCCTTGGCAGGTTTCTTTTTTTCATTAGAAAGCACTTTATTGTTTTAAAAAGACTCAAAAAGGTTCAAGGTTAAAAGTTCAAGATGTAAACTAAATTTAACAAAGGTTGCTTAAAATTAAACTTGTTTTCTCTTGTTTTCTTGGTCTTGAGGAAACAAGTAATTTCTTAACTCAATATCCTGCTGCATCATGAATGAGTGAACTGGGTTTTAGTTTGATGTGTGTAAGTGATATTCAGACTTCTGAAGCAGTGTCTGACACTTAAGATGAAGGCTGTAACACTATTGTCTTAGACACTATAGGGTCAGTGCGGTCAATTTCATCGCCAGCCAACTCCAGAGACCAAAATGTCTGCATGCTTATAGAATGATGTTTGACAGATGATGATTAAATGGTTTGCAGATGACTAGAAAAATGGGGAGCTGCTGTGAGAAAATGAAGTCGAGATTAGAAGAAAACAGCTTTTGTTATTTCAAGATTACTAGAAAATAATGTTGTGATCATGAGAAAACAAGACAGAAGAAAATAATAATGCATGGTCTTTGATGGCCTCCATATATTTCATAATAAAAATTACACCTATTTATTACACCTATATATATATATATATATATATTGCAATATTGCAATATTTGCAATTTAGTTATGAGAATTCGTTTTTTTGCAATACTGTAATTAAAATTGACATTATTTTTGAAGACAATTTTGCATATTTCATATGTGCTCAATAAATTAATTATTCTGTATTCACTATCATCCAGTTGATTAAAACCTAATTTATCAAAACATGAAAAGCACCTAATTTAACAAGAAGTTGTTTTCCGAATATTTGAAGGCTACAGCCACTTTTTTTTATTTATCATGAAAATAATGTCACTGTGCAAATCAATCACAGCATTAAAAACAATGAGCTCCACTTATACGCTACACAAAATATGCTAACTATAATTTCTTATTTCTTTTATTTTGGGGCTAAGTATGACACGGAAGTGTTCTTGACAGGTTTTGTGAGATTCAGCTCTCCGTGTGTCTGGATTTGCTTTCTTTCACTTTGTTCCTCAAACACAAAGAAGCAGTTGATGCAGAATGAGGTGAAGCTGTTGTGTCTTTGAGGAATTATTCTGTCATCCAGTGTCATAAACCCTCACCGCTCATGTATTAGTGCGTTTGTATGGATACGAACACATGGCTGAGATTAAGGACCTTTCAGAAGTCATAATCACTGCTTCTCTCGCTATAGGCATCACTGTGGAAGAAAATGCTTCTTTTGTTTGATAAGTGAGTGTGCTCTTGAAAACCAGCACAGCTGTAAGCCCTTCACAACTCAACATTCTTAAGAGGCGCCTGAACAAAGTAATCAGGGTTTCATGTAGAAAAATAACAAAATCCATCTCAAACTAAGACCAGAGAGAGTGAGCAGATCAAATATGGAGCTGAATTCATAGAGGAGTTCAAATGACTATTCGTAGATTCATAGAATTTATAGATGATCTAATAACACTATCTTCTGTAGAGCTGCTTTACAGCAGAAATTTAATTTGTTTATAATTTATGCATTTTGCAAACATTTTACATTAACATGGATCCACATGAACATGTATCACAGAGTCAGGGTTATTATGGTTAACTAAAACTAAAACTGAAGCTAAATGTAAATATTGATATTATTAAAGGTAGGGAAGGTGATTTCGGAGAGGCTAGCAATAGCAAGCTATAGATTTGAAAGCATAAGATCTCACCCTCCCTGCAAATCACTCTCCAAAGCCACGCCTCCTACAAAACACATGACCGCGCACAGGCAGACCAGAGACTAACCAGCGACACGATGAGAGACGGCGTTGGTGGAGGATTTAATGCAACGCTGTCAGATTACCTCATGTCTCATTCACCGGTGAGAAAACTTTACAGTACAAAGCGCATAATATTACAATAATAAAACTGGCCTCGAGACATTAAATGTGATCATATTTTCGCCATTGCATCATATTGCATCGAATCGCATTGTTGAATCGAATCGAATTGAAATCGGATCGCACTGCATCGTCATAGGGGTGAATCGTATCGTATCGCATCGGTAGCTGCTTCATATGTATCTTTAATGTATCGTATCGTTGGCTAGTCATTCTCCAAAACCACACCTCCTCAAAAACACACAAACGTTCACACTGCACAGGCAGACCAGAGGCTAACCAGCGACACGATGAGAGACGGCATTGGTGGAGGGTTGAATGCAATGCTGTCAGATTACCTCATGTCTCATTCACCGGTGAGAAAACTTTACAGTACAAAGAGCATAATATTACAATAATAACACCTTCCATTCTCAATAGAATGCACTGATGACGGATCACGTCTGAGCGAACAGGGTGCGTGGAGGTATGCAAATACATTAGGTAGGACAGCCTATCATAGCCCTCGGACCGAGGAATTTGATTGGACAAACATGTTATGGTCGTACGCCTTCCACAGACTATATTAATAAATATAAACTAGGGATAAGAAGATTCCCTGATGCATCGTTTCTAACATATTTGCATCGGTGCATTGGTAACACCACGGAGACCAAAACCTGACCTGAAATAACCTAACAAATCAATCGGGGCTAAAGCTGTTCCATTAACGACAAATTAAATTAACACAATCTCACTAATTTGTGCACGCTTATTCTTAAGCAGACCTTAATGTCGATCATGGATCAAATCGATCCACCATGACTCTTTAAGATATTGTGGGATTTGTGATGTCACACGAGAAGTGTAAAGCTGTATCTGTCTTTTATAAATCTGATAAAAACTAAAGACTCTTCAGAGATATGATGGATGTAATACTACTCTATAGGTATTCAAGATTAACATGAGACTGGCAGAAGCTGTGTGTGTTATACCCCTTTAAAGGAGACGCCCCTTAAGAAATGGATCATTGTAGAAAGAGGGTCAGAATGACCCTTGTTTTTTCTACATTTACATTAGTTTTTTTGTGCAAAAAACTGTAACATTATTAGTGAACCTCAAGGAACATATAATAAAATGATAATATAAAAATATATATCATAAAAAAAATCCATGTTATGACCCCTTTAATAGCCTAAAAAAAAAAACAGCGTTAGATTTGTTCACACTAATTGTTCATTCTTCCAGTGTGAACAGTTAACTGCAGTTATTACTTTTGTTGTATCTCTGTTTTTGGATGCATTATTTGATCAGACTGCTAAAAGAAAATATTGAAAATATTATATATTGTGTATATATATATATATATATATATATATATATATATATTTGTGTGTTCTCATCTTCTCTAGAGGAAAAGCTGCCACAGGCTGAGCTCTCATGGTAGTCCGTCCACCTCTCAGAGCTCCATGTCCAGTATAGGTCAGCACACAAACACACGTCAACAAAATCGAGTCAAAACTTGACGATCCTCCGTCTGTCTGACATAAGGATGTCATTCTCTTCTCTAGCTATCCATGTGGCTCAGCCGTGGTTTCACAGCAAACTGTCCCGGGACGAGGCTCAGAAACTAATCACCCAGCAGGGCCTCATCGATGGGTATATTCATTTAAAACTATAATAATATAGATTTTTATTTGATTCTTTTTATATTTTATTATTCTTATTAATTAATCAATTAAATTGTTTAATTTATTTTTAATCACAGATCATGTTAATTGTGATATGAGCACAAACTTCTAAATGAAGTCATTTGTTTCTCTCTTTCCAGGGTGTTTCTGGTAAGGGACAGTCAAAGTAACCCGAGGACATTTGTTCTGTCACTGTGCCATACGCAGAAAATCAAACACTTTCAGATTGTACCGGTAAGTCTGAACCAACACAAATGAACTGTAGCCACTTTCCATGAGTAGGGTACAAAATATAATTTTTCAATAAATTAATGACAATTTTTTATTATTATTATTATTGTTTCTAAATAAAAATAATAAAATTATTGTTTAATTGAACAAATTAGATAAAATGTATTACAGTAAAAATTAATTAAACTAAAATTAAATATTAAAATATTAATTAAAACTATATTATAATATTATATATTATAATAAATGTATAATTTATTCAGAAAAAAGTGTGTTGCAAGTAACAACTTTGCCTATTTAGAGTAAATTAAGGTGTTTGTCACTAACTAGGTTGTGATGAAATGTTGGTTTAAAGCGGTAAGTTAGTGATTATATTTAAGCTTATATTTTCCTTAAATTAATTTTAAAAAAAATTAAATTTTTTCTTATATACTATTCTCTTATTAT